AGTATACGTTAACGTAACGTTAACGTAACGTAAACGTAACGTAACGTTACGTTACTTACGTACGTACGTACTACTAACTAACTTAATAATAACTAACGTAACTAATACTACTCTCTCTCTCTCTCTCTCTCTCTCTCTCTCTCTCTCTCTCTCTCTCTCTCTCTCTCATGCTCTTATTATGTGCCTAATATTCTACTTCTGATATAAATCCTCTATCAACAGAGTTTAAGCTACTCAGAATAAAACTGCATTTCCCGCTCAAACACTCATACAGTATATGCATGGAGGGAAGCTTAATTAAACCACTAACCTCTTCTGCGACCACGTGTTGAATTCCCAAAGGATCTTGAAGGCCTAGAAGGTGTCTGAACTTGTCGTCTAAAAAGAACTCGATGAAATACAAATAAGAAAGCATACGTTACCACCAAGAGAAAATGAAAAAACAAGGGGAAAAAAACAAATTAAAAAATAATCAATGTTCAATGTCAATATGAAATAACATAGGTGTCTGCGTCCCTGTAGCACCCAATCTAACCATAACACACCCTTCAAATCCTTCTAAAGTTTCAACTTCTGAAAAATATTTTCAAGAAAGGCTAACAGAAGTATTTTGATCATTTCATAAGGCCTACAGTAAGAAATCTCACAGGCACAAATCCAATTACAAAATGGCCAACACATGGGGTGAAGTCAATGGTCAAGGAGTCCAATTTGCTATTTTTTTTATGAGCTGGTTTAGTAGCATATGGAAATTCACAAATAGGAAGCAAGGGGTCTCTATTAAGGGACAACAACAGTTATCAGGTTACGTTCACACAAGACCAACTAAGAACTGCCCGTTTTCTGTTTTTACAAATTTCAATCTAGTTCCACTAAGCAACCAAGACTATCCCTACAAAAAACTCTATAAGTAGGCAGGAACAGTTTTCAGTCATTTGAGAGTTAAGTTCAGAGGATCTTCTGGCGTTGACATATAAATTAGAGGGTGCTATGATTCAAATGACTCCAGGTGTCCATGTGTGTTCATGTGTATGCCAGGCAGATATATACAAAATTTGAATTTTATACAAACCTTGTAGGATTCTTGCTGGCCTCCAAAGTCATTGCTTCATGGCTGCCAGCAGCACAACCAAAGACATGGAACAGGTTGCTGCATTGGCAAAATAATTCCCACTTAGCAAAAAGGTATTGCTAAACAAACGGAGTTAATTCCACACATAAATGTCATATATAAGGTAGCCATCTATTCTTCACGGCTCGATGTGGAGATGAACCATACATCCGGATGGTGGAGATGAGACGATGAATGTGCATCATCGTCTCATCTCCACCATCCAATGGTGGGAATGTACGGTGGATGCAAGCTGGTATATGCAGCATACCATACACATGATATGTATGGTAGTAATTTTTCCCTTAAACTAAACTCATTCAAAAGAAAGGGTCCAGGGATCAAAACCTATAAGAACCCGTTGCAACCCGAAGGCCATCACCACTTAGACAGCACTCAAATTTGTCAAACATCGAATCATTGTCATACAAATCACAGAGCTGCAGAGGAGAAACGGCAGTGACATAATTTGCCATGAGGTAAGGATGGTGACATAACTTACCTCTTGTGAAAAAATATTTGCCACCAGGAATACGTATTAAGTATATTTATTGGCTATCCTTCGACCACAATTAAAAGCATTACCTTAGGTCGTAGATACTCATGGACCTGGAAAGTTGAAATCGGCCCAGTTTCCATGTTTAAATCCCATAACTGCAGAAGAGTAAGATTGTAATATAAATATAAAGGAAAATAAATCAAATATCTTTATAGTTTAGAGGCGTAAATGCCAAAAATCTACATAGCATAAAAATTTTGTTGTCACAAGTGAAAATTGGAAATGCTCTAAAGCTGTCGATATAAAATATACAAATAACAGTGAATTCAAACATTAAGAGGGTGCACTTTCTAGAGATCCCTACCCATATAGACATTATATATATCTCCTCTCTCCCAGCCCCAGCCTGGGCAGCTGGGAAAGAAGCCAGCTACAGGTCCTAAGACAGTAACCCACCTGAATTAAAAATAATTATAATTATAATCTCAGGACTCTGTTATCTCAATGAAACTGATCCTCTCTCTCTCCCTCTCTCTCTCTCTCTCTCTCTCTCTCTCAAAAACAACAATTGAGAACAAAGGCAACAACTTTTCTACTCTCAAGTACATTTATAGAATTCCCATCAAGAGAAAACATACAAAGAAGATCAGTAAATTCAAACATTAAGAAGGTGCACTTTCTATAGATCCCTACCCATATATAAATTATGTATATCTCCTCTCTCCTGGCCCCAGGCTAAGTGGGAGAGAAACCAGCTACCAACCATGAGCCAAAACCCACCTGAAAAAAAATCCTCAGGACCCTGTCATCTCTATGAAACTGAGCCTCTCTCTCTCTCTCTCAAAACAGAAATTGAGAACAAAGGCAACAACTTTTCTCAAGACCTCTTTCCTTACTCTGTAGCACATCTATAGAATCCTGTTTTGGAGCAGCCCTATCTAGGGAGACAATACGACTCATTGAACTTCTACGAGAAATTTAGAAACCATGACCTGCTATTCTCGCCACCTACATGAAACACAACTCTTCTTCACTTGCCTTACTAAATATAAGGTCTTCTTGTCTTTTAATAGTTCGCACAATTTGTTCTCTCTCCCATCTCTCCCCAACTCGAAATCCTCTCTCTCCATTAAACACCTCAAATACCTTGGTTTCTTTAACTACATTTCCCCACGAAATTTGCTCCCTCTCTATCACCATCTCCAGGTTTTTGCACATGCAACGTTTAAAGCCATCATCATCATCCAAGCCTTATCCCAAATATTTGGGGTTGGCTGCACGAATCATGTTCCTCCATTTCAATTTATCAAGAGTCATACACTCAATCAGATCATAAATCACCGTATCTTTTCTCACTGCTTCCATCTATATCCTTTGAGACCTTCCCCTTGCCAAATTACCATTTTAGAATCTTCCACTTGAACCAAATGACCCCTCCTAACTGGTGTTGTTCTAGGTCAATGCTACACATGACCAGCCAACCTAACTCTAATTTCCCTCATTTTATCACCTACTGGAGCTACCCATAAGTTCCCTCAAATGTATTCATTTTAATTTCTATCCTTCTTTGTATTGTCACTCATCTATCTCAATATCCCCATCTCAGCTACAATCATTCTTGGATATGTTGTTTCTTGACCGCCCAACATTTCGTCCCATAAAGTATGGATGGTCTTACAACCGGGCCCACATAACTTCTCCTTCAATTTCATTAGTATGCAACAATCACATTAGAGTCCAGACACACATCTCCATTTCATCCACCCAGCTCTAATTCTATGAGTAGAATCTTTTTATATCACTCTTTTCTATCGACCTAAGATATTGAAAATAATCCCTTTTAGGTACTCATTGGCCACCAATCTGTTCTACTCCTATTATTACTAAACTTGAGTCTGAGTCGGGCTAATTTTAAAACCATTATATTCCAAAGCATCTCTTCAAACCTCTAACCTTGAGTTTACACCGCCTCTAGTCTCATTAATCAAAACTATCATGCGCAAACAACATACACCATAGGACCCATAGTTTAAAAACCAGACCGCCCAGCGCCTAGGCGGTCCAGAAGGGCTGGGCGCATCGCCCAGACCTAGGCGGTCAAACTGGGCAATCTTCCCTGGGCGGCTGCCTAGGCGGTACGGAATCCGCGTAGGCGGCCGCCTAGCGCCCAACCCTGGGTGGCCGCCAGGGCCTGCACCCTGCCTAGAGGCAGAAATTTTTTTCTTTTTTTTTTTTGCATTTTTTTCAAAGATATAAAAGTTAAAAATGGTGGTTTTTAGGTTCATTTGAACCCTAAACCCACCAGAACTCCTTTTAGAGTAACAGAAACCTCCAAAAAATTACATTTCATTAGATTGAATCATCGAAGTATTTCTCAAAGTTTGGAGTTCAAGCAACCAAAGTAAGTGCATTTTTTAGATTTGCTTGTTTTATTTTGAGATGTCTTCTTCAGGAGTTAGTTGGAGTGGAGATCCGGATTGGAAATATGGATACAACCCGAATCCAAATGACAAAAATTGTGTTAGATGCAATTTTTGTGAAAAAGATACAAAATGAGGCATAAACTGGTTTAAAAAACATCTTGCTGGTATTAAAGGGGATGTTGCCCCTTGTAAAAATATTCCTGAAGCTATCCAGGAGGAGATTAAGGGATTTTTAAGTTATGGAAAACAAAAACAAGAACAAAATCCTTGTCATAGATCTATTTCTGCTACTCCTAGAAAAAGTGATCCGGGTTGGAAGTATAGGTACAACCAAAAACCAAATAATAAAAATTGAATAAGGTATAATTTTTGTGAAAAAGTTACCAATGGGGGTATGAACCGATTCAAAAAACACCTTGCTGGTGTTAGAGGTAATGTTGCTTCCTGTACAAAAGTTCCTGAAGCAATTCGAGATGGGACTAGAAATCTTCTAAATTTTGAAGAACCAAAAAAATATGAAAATAAGTCTTGTTCTATGGAAGTATCCTCTCCAGTTTCTAGTCGGAGTGGTGATCCGGATTGGAACTATGGTTATAACCCGAATCCAAGTGATAAAAATCGTATTAAATGTAATTATTGTAGAAAGGATACTAATGGGGGCATTTACCGATTTAAAAAACACCTTGCCAGTATTACGGGAGATGTTGCCCCGTGTAAAAAATGTTCCTGAAGCTACCAAGGAGGAAATTATACAATATTTGAATTTAGAGAAGCATAAAAAAAAAGGTAAAGCAGCCAAGACTCCTAGGGCCTCATCTGCACAGACTACACATACTATTAAGAGGAAGGTAGACGAAGAGGAGGAGGAGAAAGAAGCAGATTCAGAAGAAACAGAGGACGAGCATTATATTGAAGAGGGAGATGACTCTAATGATGATGGCCTCAACTCTGATGCATATGATGAGGCTTGCCCTATTGATATTCCTTCTGATGATGATGACGACTGAAGACTCTTGCCTCTTGGTGCTGACTGCTGAGTATTAAGTGTTCATTCTATTGACTATTGTGTTGAGTCATGAGTGTTGACTTTTGTTAGACTGTATATTTTCTAAATTTCTGTTGTGTTGAGTGTTGACTTTTATATCTTACACTTGTATGGTTTTACAGTTTACTGTTTTAACAATATAGATTATCAAAATTCGCTTCTCAACTTCTATCTTTTTTTTTTTTTTTTTTTCAACTTGGAAAATGGTATATTGGGATTTTTTCATTTTTTTCACTAGGCAGGCGCCTCGACGGCGTGGGGGGTCAAGGCCGCCTAAGCGCTCGCCTAGATGCTAGGCGGCCTGGACCAGGCCACCTAGGACCTGCCTAGCGCTTTTTGATGGGACCTCATTTTGTAGTTGCCTACTAAACTCATCTACAATGTTCAAAAAGTCGGCCACCTGACCGCCTAGGTGGCTTTCTGGAGAAAACGCCTAAGCATTCTTAAGGCGGTCACTCTTAGGCACCAGTACTAGGTGCCCGCCTAGGCGGACGGGCGGCCAATTAGGCGGTCAAAAAGGTGGTAAAAGGCACCCACCTATGCGGCTTGTAGGAGTATGGCGCAACAACATTTCGGGAAGGGCAAACAAAGTCAGTTTTCTCCCTTAAAAGAGGGAATAAGGGTTTGGGGGGTTATTCTTGCCCCCAAAAACAATTTCTGTTAACATTAAGGTGAGAAACAACTTGAAAAAAACTAGATTTGAAGATTTTTTGAGAGATCAATTCTTTTTTCAAAATCCTCGAATGGTCACGATATTGAAAGATATTCAACGCCAATCTTTTTTAGGCTTATAGGGGTTGTAAAAGAGGAGATTTGGAATCCCAAACATTTCTATTTGACTCAAAATCGAGTCCACTTCAATAAGGTTGGTATATTTCAATAGTTTTCATTAGGTTTGTATTTTTTTCCTTTAATGTCTATTGTCTAATGATGTTATCTTTTGCTATTTGTATGTTTTTTGATATTTTGTGATATATATTTGATATAATATTGTCTATTTGGATTATTATTTAATTAGTTAGTTTAATAATTGCTTAATTCTTAATTGCTTATTAAATAATTGTATGTGTGATGTGTTTTCTCGATGTATGATTCATAAAGCATAATTATTTTATTAGTTAGTTTAATATTTGCTTAATTCTTATTAAATAATTGCATGTGTGATATTCTTTTTCAATTTGGTGTTATATCATTACAATTTTGATGTGTATTTTTTACCAAGGTTTATTTTTGGGCTTAATAAGAAGCCAATACATTAAAGGTCAATGTCACTTCTTATTCGTAATAAGAATCCAATACATACAAAACTTACTTATTAAAAAATAAAACAGACAAATTTAGATATAATAAAATTGGGGGAGGTGTGGGGGATCCAAATTTTTTTTAAAAAAAAGTCATCGGCTTTTTTGGGTCTGGGTGCCTGCCTAGGTGGCCGCTTAGCACCTAGGCGGCCCAGTTCCCCCCACCGCCTAGGTGGCCGCCTCCAACTTATTGAACATCGCTCATCTATAACCTCATCCGATAGGTGTGAGGTCAAAGCCCAGGCTTCAAAAATAGGAGAGTTATGCCTGATAAGAACTAGCTTGAGGCTAACGAAACCATAAAGAAAAAGCGCTTTTCATCTTCTAATTCTTCGTTGTTGTTGCAATCCTTGGAGTTTGATAATCAAAACCTTAGTCACAATCAAGGTATAGGAATGGAGGTTTCAGTTCAGTCCATGTTTCTTGAGGGTTATTGCTTAAAGAACATACGTGGCGGTTTATCCATTAGTGGAGACAGTTGATCTTTCTGATTATATTCCAAATTTTGAAGATACGGAATTTTCTCTCCAAAATTCAAAAATTTCAAGTTCACCTGTAGATGAAACCAATGAATCTAGAGATAACTAATAGTTCTAGACAGAGAACTGAGGGAGTAGGCAAATAGGGGTTATATGACATGGAAAGAAGCATGAATTGGGCACTGAAGAGTTAGGCTTTTTCTTTTAACTGAAAAATTAGGGCTTTTAGATAAGAGTTTTCAGAATGGAGAATTGGGTTTTGAAGAAAAAACAACGGGAATTAAGGATGATAAGGCTTGTATGGAGAATCGAGAAAATTCCAAAAAAATTGAAGAATCTTCCAAAACATAAGTCGAATAGTCCCTCAGAGAAAAACGAAAAAACAAGATAAGGGCTTTTATGGAGCTTCTTTGTGTGGTTAGTCTAAAGAAGATAAGAATTGAGGGTTCTTTTGTGTGTTTTGTTTTTGGAGGGGGGGGGGGGTAAGGGAGAGGAAAGGAGAGAGAGAGAGAGAGAGATGCCCGAATGATTTTGGGGATTTCAGAGGTGCACTGTTATAATGTGTGTGTGTGAGAGAGAGAGAGAGAGATGTCAGAACAGTTTCAGGGGTTCAAGGAATTCCAAAGGTGAGGGACTTGGGATTTCTCACATTTCTAATCTAAATGGGCTACTGCCAGAGCCTGGTTGCCCCAAACTCAGTCACTTTTTGTGACATTCGCAGGGAAACCCTCCCAATCATCCATTAAGAACAGACTGATGAGAGGTTGGGGACATATATAAATTTCCTATAAGTGGGGAGTTACAGGAAAGTTTCCTATAATTAACATGTTCAATTCTCTCATAATTTTCCATTACCATACTTGTCTTTATCCTCAAAACCTCTATGAAGCAACCTATGTGTTCCACTCTTATCCAATCCCACATCTCTGAAGCTGTGAGGCTTGTCTGAGCTCAAGCCATTCTCTCTTTTACAAATAGATCCCAAAATTTCTCACTTGGGCATTATTATATTACACAACACGAAGAATAAACTTCTATCAAGAAGCCTTGAAAATAATTGCATAAACTACTTATCACACCTAAAGAAAATCAGAAGACAATCACTATTTTCTCGTAAGTTTTGTCTATTTAAGAGTAATCTTTGTTCAAGAAACCTTAAACAATTTCCAAATGGCCAAACAGAGCAAAACAAAAGCAAGAGGTATTTATTAATTTATTTGAAGCTTCTCCAGTTCCAAGATTAGCCTTCCTGAGAAAAATTAAATTCCATTATCTTATTTGCCCTTATTTTCATCACTCTTCATCAAAGGCACTTTGATCATTTTTATATGAAACTCCACTATCCTAATTCACCTCTCCACGCTACATTCTTCATTAAATACTCACTGACAGACTCTGGCTTTGCACCCATAAAGACTTGATCTCTTCACTGACGTATGTGCGTCTAAGTCTAATATCCATGCTCTGCATTCAAAGCAAAAACTCTAAGACTACAACAATGCATCACCCTTATATATCAGGATCTCTCTATTCAACAAGTGTAGCACCCACTTGAAGGAAGTTTCTCCATAATGACAAGGCATCTGATTAAGCTCCATATATTTTACCTCATCTCAATAGGAATGTCAGAAGAGACCACCATGGTTTGTTACATAATAATAAAACAACACTAATAAAAGTGTGAGATATTAAAAGAAACTTCTTGTTGGGATATGGCTCCGGTGATGATGATATTATTTTAACTGATAAATACCCCAATATCATTTTATAAATCTAAAAATACATTTCTACTCCCTCTTTTGAGGTAACATGGAGTCCAATTTCAAATTTTGAAGAGCATTTATCTTCCATGATGAGTGGTGGACTACAAATATGCATGATGTACCAGAAACTGTCGCAATATATTTAGGGAAAATTTACATTCCAGGGGATCATCACCCTCCATTGAAAACATAGACGGTGATGGAGAATGGGAGAGGGCATGAATCCAATGGTGGATCCCACTCTCTGTAACCATCCACTTCATAGGACATTGATGACCTGATGGACCATGATTATTCCAAGGATCATTAAATTATAGTATAGTTGCCATGTTTATTAAACTTAGGCATGTTGTGCAGTTCTAGCCAAGTAGTAGTAGCAGGTTAGTTTTTAATATCATCATCATCATTATTTTAGCCTTTTCCCAATTAATTGGGGTTGGCTACATGAATCATGCTTCTCCATTCTGCTCTATTAAAGGTCACATCCTCAATAGTTTATAAGACCAATGCTAAGGAACAGCAACTCTTAACAGTCTGTGAACTAAAGAAATAAATATAGTAAGTATTGGAACAAACCTTAAGTGTCATGTAATCACGACTCAGAATATATCTTCCATCTTTTGCAAACTTAATATCTGATATTGAAGCAATTATGTCGGTGAAAAATGACCTTGACCCTGGTGCTTCCTGCTCCTCAAATCTGAATGGATTTGAAGAATGTCTCCATGGTTATTCATCAAAGAGTAGAGACCTTCAACGATAAATGCAGAACGCACAAACTTGAACAAAGGATAGAGTATAACTTAATGGGCCTACGGAAAAACAAACTTATAGTGTTTATCATCATCTGCTGAAATGGTGAAGGGTGACGTTGAGTGGGACCTACCAGAATAGATCATGACCCCAATTCCCAGTCTCTCCCCATCACCACCCATCAATTCATCAGGCAGCTGCCTTATTATTATGGTTTCCACAATCCATTGGACTATAGTACACTTTCACTAAAATGATTTTCATCCCTAACCTTGCGTTTTGCAAAATGTTTGATTATGTAAAAGATATCTTGGGATAAATTAATTTGTACAAGAGTGAAAAGAAAAAGAAAACACTAACAGTTTTGCATGAGTATCACAAAGAGCTGATTGCCGTAAGTCAATAAGTCGAATTGTGCCCTTTGAACTACTGTATGCGAGTGTATTACAGTGAGTAGGATGGAACTCCGCAGATGTTATCACCTCTGCAAATGCAAAATGCATTAAACCAACTTTTATGAAAAACAAAAAGAACAAAAAATAAATTAACAAGAATTTGTAGTCAAGTGTATGCCCGAAAACTTTTCGTTCTAACTGACAATAGGACGAACAAATGCAAGAATACATCAAAAAAAACAAAAATAAAAAAGCATGATACAAGGCAGATGTAAAGGCCGGTTCAGCAAAACAAACAAAATTGGAGATAATTGGAAGCAAAGAGCAATATCACATCAACTATCAAGTAGTTCTCATCTTACAAATACCTGAATGAGCATGTGCCAAATAGTGGTGACCATTATGTTACAGGAATCTAAGTTGGAATGGGTTGACCACAAGATGGTGAGGTCCCCATGAAAGTTTTCAAGGAAGAAACTGAACTGATCTGCACTGTACATGCATCAGTATGTACAGAATTACTCATGTAAAATACAACAGATGATGCAAACAAACATGTTAACAGCAATGATCAAGTGCTTATTTCACTCTCAACAATATCTCCAGAATTCCCCTTCAAGCTGAAGTTCTCCTCTGGAGCTCTGAAATCTTGTCAGTACACACATGGTGTTTCCGAATAGACATTTTGTGAACATGTCTACCATCTGCTCTGAACAAACTCCACTATTCTCCCTCTATCTTTTTCTTTCTCTAATGAAATGACAGGAAATTTCAATGTGCCTTGTTCTGTCCTGAAGACAGAAATTTGTTAATAACTTTATGGGACACAGTTAATTAGGGCTGCCAATGGGCTGGGCTAGGATTGGAAAAGACCTGATCTGAGCCCAGTCAGATATCGTTTTGGATAAGCCTGCACCTGAAACTTTGGTTTCCGGCCAGGCCCGAAAAGCTGAATCCGGCAGGCCTCGGGCCAAGTCTGGGCCACAAATATTTATATATATAGTCAAGGTTCCAAAAATCATTGTGCAGGAGCTAGGTGGCCCGGGGAGTTTGGCTGCCTTAGAGCTAGGCGAGTGCCACGGTTTCGGGGTGCTCCAACATTTATAAGTTTTATAATTGAAATAATGGATAACCAGAATTCAAATATCTATATTCTGGTCATGATAATTGATCATATCTACATACGGATATATTTTATTAAACTTAGTGATCTACAATCCTCAATGTTTTAGATAAAGATTTAAGTCTAAATCACCGAAAAATTCCTCATTTGACATATCTTAAATCTTATAAAAAAAAAAAGTTAGGTTTGAAATGATCCCTCAATCTACTTGAATTTTAAATTTTTTTTGCTTTCGACACCCTAAAAATAAGTTTGGGGGCATCACAATAAACACTCCCCATGAGGACATCTTGGCTTAGACACAAGGTGACACCTCAAGTGCCCAAGGAGGTCTGTTTTTTTTTTTTTTTTCCTGTTCATGCCTAGGTGGGGCTCTCGTGCCCGCTAGGCGGGGTGAGGCGACCGCCTAGGCAATGGCAAGGCTCTTTACGGACATCACGCAAGCGCGCGCGCACACACATTATATATATATATATATATATATATATATATATATATACCTACTACTACTACTACTACTAC